AAGATGGATCAAAGAGCCTCATGAACACTGATGCGGTTCATTACGATACTGCTTTGAGTTGAGTAAGACGATGATGAGGGATGAACTCAGTGGTGGACATGGCCTCTGGACATCCCAAACTGACCCCGTCCAACACGTCTTCAGTTCTGGAGAAAGAGCTGGCCTGCAGATAACAAATTCAGAATTTATCGATTTGCACACAGCAAATGATGCCTTGAGATTAAGAAGAGTTCATTCAGGGAGAATGAGAGGCATGAGGAAAAGACTTCCAAAAAACATTAAGTGAAAAGGAATAGAGGAACTCGGGGGAACACCAAGGGAGTCCGGTATCTCTGCATCAGTGTGTACGTGAACTTGCACTTTAAAGTTGCCCTGAAATAAAGCAGTCATTCTTTTGAGAGATTTGTTAAGAGAAGCTGAGAGGTACAGGGGCTAGTGCTTTAGACCAAGGAGTCAAAACCTACCTCCATGGTGACTTTTGGCAAATCACACCTTAGCATCCTCATATTTGCCCGCACCAAGCTGTGGAAAATCTCACCAGGGACACACTGGGGACTTTATAAACTATGAAATATCACAGAGGTACTCCTGATTTATTATTGTACTGGCATTACAACTGAGTATGAAAATCCCGTCTATTAATAGAGTATAAACTTGTGAAAACGGGACCTTCAGCCTTCTACGCTTTTCTACGAGGTACGGTGCTATGTATTTAAAAAATGTTTGGAGAATATTCGGCAGTAACATGAGAATGTATGCACAATGGGGGAGGGAGGGAGGGAAGGCGTGCTTAGCAAAACACAAATCCAATTTCCTAAAAGGATTCAGAATTAAAATAGACTGTATCCCTGCCACAAATGTGGCCCATGACAAAATTATGGGGGGTGGGGTGGGGGGATTGCCTTATAATTCCAACTTCTCTCCTAAGGTGTCAAGTGTTGTTCTGAATGCTTTAGAAACACAGAGACGGTATAGCAGTGAATTGTAGAACCGGAAAACAGCAACTTTATAAAACTGTGTTCAACAACGGCTGGCCATTAAAGAAGAGCTCCTTCGCGTCTCAAGTTGAAACCTGCAAAAAGGTAAATCAGGCCTTTGTGAAGACAAACGAAAATAGTGTCCCCTCAGGGTGTGCAAATACCACAGTGAAGTCACCTGAGTGAACTATTCCCCGACACAGTCAGAGCCTACCTTGCAAAGGTTTTCTTGGGGGTGGAGGGGGAAATGCATGTTAAATATACACTCAGGACCAAACAGAATAAAATGTAATATCCTTATATATCAATTATTCTGATATAGACACCCGAAAAGGATATTTAGATAGAGCTAAAAAGCATCCTTTGATCACCATTTGTCCCTAAAGCTTATGAAGAGCTTGGAAACTAATGTGATCTTGGTGTAAATTTTAGGAGTTCCATAAACTTTGATTGAGTTGGTTTTATAAGGGCTCCCTTAATCTAATTGTTTTTAGAGAGAGGCAAAGCTACCTTCCTCCCAGATCATGAGCCAGTCTGCCAAGTTTCCATCCACAAGGACCATCAAGTTCATCAAAATGGCTGTTTCATAAAAAGCAAATTCTCAGCTACAATCGATCAACTACCCCAGCGATACTGAGAAAACCTATGATGACTTATTATGAAACACAGAAGCCACACTTAAACAGAAAACTTAATCCATACAGAAGTTGAAGGCAAAATGAGAAACGATTCTCTGTAGAAGAAAGGTGCCTGGCTGAGATGTCTCTCCACAACAGGCAGAAAAGGCAGTTCTGGTTCCCACAGCAACTTTAACTCACGTTATCTGAGGACACACGGCACTCTGCATCCTGGATTACCGTATATGCTGCTGAAGACATGGATCCTATCAGAATCAACACTGATTTTCCTGGCTTTTGCACACGTGATCATAATTGTACAGTGATCTAATTTGTACTTGCCATCTGTTAAAATGTGCCTCCCCCAAAAGGTACCAGTTAAAATGATCATGTAATCTTATGTATACATGTGTGTGCACGAAAAGTTTCCAGAAGGCTGCCTAAGAAATTGTGCAGGGTGGTCTCCAGGGCCACTTAGCAACAAGACTCACTAGTCATGATACTTACTGTTTTACTTTATCATGCCATGTTTTATTTTTACCATAAAAAAAAAACAACAAAAAAAACAAGACTGACTTATGGTCTGTGCCAAGACACATATGTGACTACTTCAGGACAATCTGACTCTGCTTATTTTAAAGCTGACTGTGTTTAAAGTTCACCATGAAAAGGCAGCCTAGAAAAGTGGTGGCGAGACCTTGTGCTTTCACACGGCGCACTTCCCGTTTCACAGGCTCTGGAAGGGCGAAGCACAGTACGCATCACTTGTTTAAGGGTATGTGAAATCTGAACTGGATGGGAGATTTAATAGATGCACAAACAGTCATGGCACTTGAATTCATGGGAGATAATTAGTTAGCTAGAGTCCATGGAGTAACTGGGCTTAGGGAGGAAAAAGGCTGAACATCATAAAGCCTTGCCTAGTTGCCATAAATAATAGATCATAGCATGCATGGATACATGTATCTTTATCATTTACAAAGAGCAAGGGGGGGAGAGAGGGAGGGAGGGAGGGAGGGAGGGAGAGAGAGAGAGAGAGAGAGAGCAAAGAGAGAGAGAAATATTAAGACATCAACCCTACTACACAAAAATCCAAATCTCCCTTCCCTTCCCCACTTCCTCACCACACACAATTTCCTCAGGGACATCATTTCTAGTCCAAGAATAAGTACAATAAGTTCTAGTCAAGTTTTTAGAAACTATCTATCTGAAAAGTTTAAATGTTTTTACAGTTAATCAAAATACTCACATGAAAACTATTTTAAATAACTTTTTTTTTACCTTAAGAATTTTAAATCCACAGTTTATGAACTTCGTTTACCAAGAATATTATCAAAAATGGAAGAAGTTTTCAGCAAAAACAAGTCCAGACATATAATATTTTTAGAGGAAAAAGTCATGTTAGAGTCTTAAGCAGGTGAACTCTAAAATCTCTTTTGACCTTTTAATCAGCAGGATCCTGAGTTAATGTATCTACCTCCCAGTAGCAGCAACCTACCTTGACTGATACTGTCTTCCCTACCCCATTATCTTTGTAACAGAGAAGCAATCACTGAGTAATCTAACTACCTCTTTAATCACCTGAAATAACCTTTTGCTACATAGTACCCACAGCAGAAAACACAGACGGCCCAGACTGACAGCCCCACCTTTACCAAAATAAGAGATTCTTGTTCAGAAATTTTCAATGGACTCTCAGGCACTCTGAGACATCGAGGCAATGCCTTTGCTTTAAAATGCGTAATATTTGAAAACAGATAAAATAAGATTTCAGGAGCATTCAAAGTTCAGCACTTTCATAAGTCAAAATTGAAACAAAAATAGTTGGATACAAATTTCAAAAGCAATCTTGGCCAAGTGTAAAAATATAACACCTAGGAGAAAATAGCTAAACAGCCTCCCAGCAAAGTCTTAGGAGACTTCCCAAGTGTCTTGTACTCTTTAGAGAGGCACCTGTTACAAAATACTGCTAGTTTTCTGTATGTTTCCAATACCTCTGAAAAACTGAACTCAGTACAGTTTACTCCTTCCATCTCTGAAAAACAGGCGCCTCAGACTTTCTTTTTATGAACTTAGTTCCAAAAAGTTTCATCTTCCTAATGACTTGTCTACAAATACAATGGTGTTTACTACAAAGGTGCTAAATACTGCTTTTCTAAAACTTACTCCACACAGAGTAATTTAACCCCACTTTTCAAAGAACTTTTTGGAAGTCATATTCTTTCTCTGGCCTCTTGACACTTACATACAAGTTCAATATACCAAAGAGCAGTGGAAAGAAATAATACAAAACTGTGACCAAAAGAACCATTTGCCTACAAAACATTCCTTTCAAAGGCCCCCAAATAATGTCATTCGCCTTTATAGAATTATCTTGCTTTGACAAAAGAATGGCTTGGTATTCCCTTCTCTCTGGAAGTTCATTACTACCAGCTACCAGTAAAATCAAGCCTCTCAATGCAATGGGGATTCAAGCTCTACAAATCACATGTCGGTTTCTCACAAGCTTGTTACTTTGTTCAACACAATAATGTTTGTTTATATATTTCAGTGATGAAAAACAACTTACCTAGATCAATCATGATGTTTGATAGTTTAGGATAAACACATCCATCCTCATCCACTCCCCAGCAATGACGTTTGCTATACTTCCCTTTCCTTGATTTCAAAAAGGTCATTCATATATGTTTCTACACTAGCTTTGAATCCAAGCAAAAGGAAGACAGTAAGGAGAGCCTTTTCACCCAGGGACAAACCTGGGCCTGGGCAATTACAGTGAGTGCAGGCACTTCCTTTTGTCTTCTCTACACCAGGATTAGCAGTAAAACAGTTTTGTGGCCCTCAGGCTGAACTCTAAAGAACACTCACTTTAAAAGTGAATTTCTATTTTAATGACACATAAAGGCATTACCTGGAGTAAAGGCATTTGCTCCCCTCAATTTCCCTAATCTTAGACCTTTCCTCTCGAGTTTATTCAACAGAGCAAACAGCAACCACCCTCAACCAAGGTAACAGTGCATAAGGTGGACGGACCTCCCCGTCTCTGATCCAAGAATGCGTTGTGATGGCCCCGCTAGGAGAGAGAAAAGCGCGGACGAGGGTTTCTGATTAAGGCGTCAGAAAAGAGGGGTTAAAAAGAGTCGAGATGGCGAATCATCAAGGGAGAGAGAATTCGGTTACGTTAGAGCAGAAAAAGCAAACAGAGAGATGCTGGCGCGAAGCATCTTGGCCCTCACGGGACGTGAAGTTTACACGTTGGAAAAGGGGGTTTGTGTGTGGCCCACGCTGGGGAGCAGAGAGCCAGCAGGCGGATGTCTGAGCCCCGCCGGCCGGGCCAGGGGTGAGGATGGCCGGGACGCCGGGCTGCAGGCGAGCAGCAGTAGGGGACGGGGCTGTCACCGCTTACCCAGGTGCAGCGTGAGGTTGATGGCGTTGGGGTACTGCACCCCGGCCAGCATGGTCTGGCTCTGCCACCAGGTGGTGTCGGCCTGGTTGTTGTAGTCGGTCAGGAAGGCGGCCCCGTGCTGCAGGTGGGGCTGCCCGGCGTCGCACAGGTGACAGGACTTGGTGACTCCGGTCACCCCGGTCTGCACACAGTACTCCTCGGGCGGAGTGCCGCACGTGTTGGTGGCCACCACGGTCACGTTGAAGGCGGCGTTGACGAACTCGGGCATGCAGCGCTGCGCTCGCCCGCCCTCGTCCGCGCACTCGTCCATGGCCGCCCGGACGCAGCCGGCCGCCGCGGCCAGCACCGCCAGCGCCGGCCAGAGCCGCCCCCGGGCCCGCG